ATGAATGAATGAATGAATGAATGAATGAATGAATGAATTTTGCTAATGATGATAACAGCCACAGCAACACTTCAAGGCACAATTTAAATATAGATTTACTGGTTTTAAGTGGATTCTGAATATGGGACATTGAGGGAGTGTATAGGGAATCTCAATCTGTATATTAATCCAATGGCATATTGATCCTGGGTAAACACGAGTGTGAATCTGGATAATGGCCTGCATGGAACTTCTCCTATTCCTTTAGTAACAATCCTTGGTTTCATTTTCTCTTTGAACCCACTTTGATGGCCCTTTTCACAATCTCAGTCCTAACTTGTTTACTGGACTTTCTTCTGTTAAGTATTAAACCGGTTTGAGACAGTTCCTTCTGTAAGTGAGAAACCTGTTTGAGGAAAGAAAACAAGGCCTATGCAGTCCAGTCATTCATTCAGGTTTTTATATCTCATCTTTCTACTGAAACACCTAAAACCTTCACAACTGAAGACAAGAAGGCAGGCTGTAAAACTCTTCCTTCATCAACTGAAAAGGGTATTTATGCAAAAAGAGTTTGATCTCCTAAGCCCCAGTGGGCTTAGAAAAAAGCTACACCCAGTCTCACTAATGTCCTTTCCTTGTCTATAAATAATGCCACACCAAGCATTTTTGTGGTTTGCATTTTTTTAAACCTTTCTCTTTGTGCAGGACAACCCTCATTACATCCCAAAGGAAGACCTGCCAAAGGTCCTTCCCAGATCCTGAAGGGTGGTCACCCAGGGAGGCTGCAGATGGACTGAGAAAATTGGCTCCCTCCATACAACCATGGTAAGTTTAACAGGTATCCCTAAAAGATAATTTAAGGGAGCTCTGAAGCATTTCGAGAGCAAGATACTAAAACAAATGCCTTTTTGGAGAGGAAGTAAATTTTTAAGGAAATTACAGGGTTTATTCTAGCATGGAGTAATTCATTGTCCTGATGGACAATTTATAGGATCATCCTAAAGAAAGTGTGGTGCAGTAAAGGGCATTTTGTCTTATTGTGTAGGAAAGTGCCGAAGATACTTTAAACAGAAGGCTAGAGATAATCAGAGTGGCTGGGTTACATGGTTGCATCTTTTTGATAAGGTCCCTAGGGATTTTCAAAGGCAGATTTTAATTATTCTGCCCACTATTGGCTTGCGATTAACTTGATTTTTGTTGTTAGCATTTTGCAAAAGCAGAGAGGTTCTAAGAAACCGTCTGGATTAATGCCTATGTGTGTGTGCACTGTCAGATAATCAAAGCTTGAAATGCAAACTCTGAAGCTCAAGGACATCCTGTGGATTTGCGACATATCCTGGAGGAATAGTTGGCCATAAACCAGAACAAGGACTGATACAATGAGACCTATTGTAATTTCCATACAGCTTCTTTTGTGACAGATAAAATCTCTCCTTTGGAGTTTGCCATCATTGTTTAAAGGAAAATATACACAATTTCTCCAGCTCTTTGTAGTAGCTGTTTTTTAATCCCCCAGATAAAAACAAGCCTGACAGTGGAATAAATTTTCAGAAGTGCTCCAGCAAACATTTTCTCTTTTCAAATAAATGTTACAGTTTGAGTTGAAAATTTACACTTGCCCCAAAACCATAGAAGGTGTATGTGCATTCCTCCCTCCCTCAGGCTGTGTTATTTTCATTTGTAAATAATAGCACATAGAGCTTGTTCATGTGTCACTCTAATCCAAGGTTTCTTTAATTATCTTCTATCGAATAAGCCAGAATTAGTTTGGTTTGCAACAACATGTTAGACCATAAAGTATGATTTATCAACTTAAATAAGTGAGTTCACACAATGCTTTGAGTTATCTGAGCATCTAATTGAATTCAAAAGTAGGGTACAAAATCAAGCAATAAGTGACTATCATAAATCCAGACCCAAATACACCACAGGGTTTGCGCAATGCATGAACCCACTCGTATGAGCTAAGAAAAGAGCTTGATGGAAACCATTTCAAACATCTCTGTTTTCAAAGGATCCTAAAGCAAAGCTGTTTGCTCCAAGTTCAGGCAACAGAGCAAAGGAAAGATGTTGCATTCATCCTCATGGTTTTATGAGCCAGATTCCTACCACTACTCTCATTCCTGATGAGATTATCGTTATTCATAAAACGATGGGAAGTTATTGCAGATTTGGTATTAGAAGAGGTCAGATATCATGCAGTGATACTTTAATCCAAAGCATGGCTATATGGAAGTAAAATCCATTGACATCTCTGACCAGGATTCAGACAACATTCTTGAAACAGTTAAAATTAGCAACTGTATCCCCATAGCTTGCTAAATTGGTTAGTTGTTAATCCGGGGAACGGTGTATGTGTGTGTTTTAGCATGTTGTGCAATCCAGCCTGTCTGGTGAGTTTATTGTTCAATACATTTAAAGGTATTAATCCAGCAATCCAGTTGTGCATATTTGTTTGGATTTAGACATAGTGATTACTTTACACTGAATATTCTTGGGATTATCTCATTAGATATTTAAGCCTGCTGCACAGATCTGATTTTCTGAAGGCTTCCAATTATTATGCAGCCTACTTGCTTGCCGTTTCTAATTTCTCAGAATGTTTGGGGGATATTGAAAATGTTAGTCCTCTTACAATACAAGAAAAACTGTATTTATTGTATCTGCTTGTGTGTTTTCTTACTTCCAGGTGGGGAAGGTTGGAGTTTTAAATTTGCAACAAGCATTTTCTGTTCTCTGTTGTTTGCTTGAGTCTTTTTGCTGAGCTCTTCTGAAGAGCTTGCTATTTCTGATATTGCTGGTGGGAGCAAGATGGAATGGAGTTCAGCAAGAACAGAAAGAAAGATGTTGCTTATATCTACCACTCCTGTATGTTGGAAATCTTCCCAGGCCCACTTGCTGGTGCGCGTGTTTGTCACTTGCTGGTGTAACAGATGTAAGCAACCTTTTCTTAAAATCAGAGGCATGTTTTTATTTGTGGATTATCTTCAGCAGCTGGGCAGCGGAGTAGGCAAAGCAGAGTTCTCAATGAATCTTGCAAGTGGGCAGGACCAATTTTTATGAGCTTCTTTGAAGAGGTTTCTGTGTGAAGGTTGCAAAATCCAAAGATTTTTTATACAGGCATTTTAAATTGAGAGTCACTTGATTGTGGCAGGGTATAAGGTCACTGAGAGCCAATTTAGTGTAGTGGTTAAAGCACTGGGCTAAAAATCAGGAGGCCGTGAGTTCTAGTCTACCTTAGGCACAAAGCCAGGTGGGTGACCTTGGGCCAGTCACTCTCTCTCAGCCCTGGGAAGAAGGCAATGGCAAACCATTTCCAAAAAACCTTGCTAAGAAAACTGCAGATGCTAGTCCAGGCAGTTGCCTTTACTTTACTTTACTTTCAACTTTATTGATTAGTCTTACAACCATATCAACAAGAATAAGAAACATTATTATTTTATAGTAGTATTATATTTACTACTATCCCATTTTATTTGTTTCTTATTCTTGTTGATATGGTTGTAAGTGTTTCTTATTCTTGTTGATATGGTTGTAAGTGTTTCTTATTCTTGTTGATATGGTTGTAAGTGTTTCTTATTCTTGTTGATATGGTTGTAAGTGTTTCTTATTCTTGTTGATATGGTTGTAAGAGATTCATATAAGACCATCACCCCTACATGATACTCCAATCTGTTCTATATATCGGGCTCTCAACTGAATTGCCTTGTCCACAAACTTGGCAGTAAATAAAGATAAATAAAGATATTTGTGCCCGAAAGAAAATAGGATAATCTGTGTTTGGAGTCCCAATGGACTGTTCTTTCCAACAGAGAGGACAAATAATTAAGCCTGAGTGAGTCTTAAAGTTTACAGTCGAACAAAACATGGGCATTATCTTCTATGGCTGGGTCCCCACATACACATAACCTCTCATCCTAAGGCACGTGATGGAAACGACCATATTTGACCATGGAGTCCAGTAATTCAAACCTAGCTCTAGTGTAGGCCCTTCTTAGGTTTTGAGTTAGACTCACTAACAGATGTTTTTCAGAATTAAAGGTAATTTTATTCTTAGCTAACCATTTTAATGACCCATTTTTAGCCAGTTCCTCCATGTCCGTTTGGGCACTGATATCCAGGGCTCGCTGTTTAAAAACATCCTTTGCCTGCGAGGTATCCCAGGCAGTGGCCTGTCCGTTTGGGCACTGATATCCAGGGCTCGCTGTTTAAAAACATCCTTTGCCTGCGAGGTATCCCAGGCAGTGGCCAGGCGTCAACAATGAATCAAAGGCACTAAATAAATAAATAAATTAAATTAAATTAAATTACATAGAAAACCACCAAAGCATGCTTCTCTCATTCCTCAGCAAAACTAGTCTTACATGTCATATTCTATAACTAGATTATTAACATTTGTATAATTCTACCTAACAATAGAATAAATGGGAAATATAGCATATAAAATAGGATGTGTGGACCAGATTTTGGATTTGTCTTCTGAGTAAGACACCAGACAGTAAACGTTTGTTCAGCTACGGAAAGAGAAGTAAATTCATCAAGCTATTATCTACGCCGTGTAGTATCAGTTCTTTGTCTGTCGGTAATCATAAAACCACGCAATACACATTTCTAATATCCTCCTATTACATTCCAAACTGCTGGTATGTAATTTGGAAGATTGTAAGCATCTTCAAAAACCAATTAGTCTTCCACAAGAAAATCAATATATGAAATAACTTTTATTTATTCATTTATCCCTATTTTCATCTGGCTCACTCCCGGTCAAATTTCTGTCCAAAAAGAAGCCGCTGTATTTGATCAGAGAAAAGATTATATCTACGTTTATTGATCACTGGAAACCCCTTATAGACTTTTTGCGTGAAATAGAAAAAAATGAACTTGCGATTTATGGTTTTGATGATTAGACAGGATAGATTATGGAAAGAAGAGAGTTACATTGTAACTGCAGAGTAAGAGGTAAATTTATAATTGTACTTGTAACTGCTGTAAGGAAGATCAGAAGCTACTTCTTTGTCTCGTCTTGTCTTTCTTTTCTATTTTTCTATTTTCTTTTTTTTTCTTGCACTTCTAGCTTTTTCTTTGATTTCTTTCTTTTTCTTTTTCTTTTACTTGATGTTAATTTGTCTTTATTGTCCTTCTTAAAAATCTTTATTAAAAGTTATAAAGAAAACAAAAACAAAAGAAGCCACTATAGCACAGGACAATGACACATTTTAAGCACTGTATTTTCAACAGTTACCTGGACTTACCTATTATATCTTAAAAAGGCACATAGGTGGCCAATAGATACAAAATAGGGATTGGTATTCAATTAATCATCATTTTAAACCTGTAGAAATGAGACAGACAGATGTCCAAATGGTCTTGGCATTCAAGTACTAAACATTCAATTCAGTTTCCTTCTTCCATGACCCTTAGAAGATCTCTAAAATTATTGTTGTGTCGGGGTCATTCTCCCAATTTCCCCCATTCCTTATTCTTCTACAAAAGAAGTGTGCATTTCTCTGTCTTGTTCTTTTTTAATTTCTTTCAGGAGTTGCTCTGAACTTAGCACATTCTTACAGTATGACTCCAGTGTCTTTTCATTATGTATTGTCTCATTATGCTGCTGCCTTCCCAATGCCTACGTTGCTCAATAGGGTGTAGGAATTCAGGGGACTCTTTTTATTCAGTCTTAGCTGAAGGACAGCCAGCAATATATACCTAGGTTAATTCAGAAATGGTGATTAAGAAAAACATTTTCTATTGTAGCAAGAACATTGTATAAGAAAGATGGTAAAAACCAACATCTCCTGTATTTTGGGGAACAACTCATGCCTATG